GAAAATTGTAAAACAGACACAGATTTCCTACTTTTAAGGAGAAGAAAAAATAATGCCCTCCATTTGTTGAGACAGGAAATCAAGACTGGGTGGGTGGGTGTATATCTGTACCAATTTTCACCTATTAAAATAGCAAAGATTATTTTATAAAGGATTACTTTATGTTGGCAAGTGTATTAGGGATTTTCATACTTTATTTTCTTGTCAGTACTCTTCAGTTTAATTGTTCAAGAGAAAGGGACAGGACCAACAGAAGGCAAAATGGTGGTTGCAAGGAGCTTAGGGGGAGAAGAATAGGGAGTTTAATGGATACCTCTCTGCCTTTGGTTTGGGAAGATGGAAAATATGTGGGATATGGTGGTTATGTGAATATACTTAATGCCACTGAACTCGACTTATAAACGATGGTTAAAATGGTGTATTTTACCACAATTAGCAAAAATAAAAACAAGGCTACTGTGATGGTTTTACCATGTAGGCAGTAGGAACTGAAGAGACCAGATTAGAGAAAAATTTCAGAGCTGGCATGGCCTGGTTGGGTACCTACCATGTAGGTAGCCTTTAATAAAATATAAGATTACTGGGTCTTATTCTTGACTTACTATGCTACTGGTTTAGAGATTGGGTCTCTTGCAAGATGCTGATGCTAACAATTAAAACAGTGCACAGAGGGGCCCCTCCCTGGTGGCACAGCACTAAGAAGCTAAAGCCACTTCCACATGAGTTCGATTCCTGCCTGCCCCAGAGGAGATCCACATGGCGTGGCAGACCTCTCCTGACCCGCCCACTGCTCCCCTCAGCAGTGTACTTCGTTGGTCTGCCTGTTCTGCTCCCCACTCTGTCTCTGGTGAAGCCTCTCACCCTCTGCATCTCTGGCCTGTACCCCAGTTCTGTATGAATAAATAAATAAATCTTAAAAAAAAAAAACAGTGCACAGAGGTTGAGATTAAAGACATGGAGATTAGTGTACATTTGAAGGGTTGGGGGCAGAACCCAGGTAGAGGGAGTTGGGGCTAATCAGAGAAACTGGTTCTAGAAATCTGAGCTCTAGCATTGGAAGCCGATAGGGAATGGAGAATGAAGTTAAAGTACTAAAAGCCGAGCTTGGAGGAATAACTGCATTGTTAGGACAGGAGAAACAAGGCATTAGAAAATTAATAGTCAGAATAGAGGAGTAAAAACAGTTGATATGGTGCATTGTCAGATGTCGGAGTAGTCAAAAGAAATAATTGAGTGTCCATGACAGAAAATTGGATAAAGAAGACATAACAAAGTCATCATGATATCCAGTTATAATTGTACCCTCCCTACCCCTGGCAGCCACTGCTCTATTCATCATATACTTTTCCTTTTAATAATGTGATCCTGCCATTTTTAACTCAGCATGCTCTTGAGATTCATCCAACTTGCTGAGTATATCAATAGTCCATTCCTTTATATTGCTGAGTGGTAGTCTATTATATGACTGTGCCTCAATTTATCCATTTATCCACTGAAGGAAATCTGGGTTGTTTCCAGCTTGGGCACTTATGAAAGAGATGCTAAAAGCATTTGTGTACAGGCTTTTGTGAACTTAAGTTTTTGTTTCTCTGGAATATAAGTTCTTAGTAGCATTTATCTTTTTTAAAACATGTTTACTGGTACTATTCTAAGTTTCTAAAAACAGTTCCTGGCACATAATGGGAGCACTGTACATTAGTGAATGTCATGTTACTTTAAAATAGAATAGTGGAGCCAGAATCACTATGAACACGTTTGAAGATTCACATCACCAGATCCTAGATTGTGCAAGCTATTCAACCCTAAATGGCAGGAGTCTTGAACTGAAAGACATTTGCAAGTTTAGATTGTAAAAAAGTGACTTTTACCGAAGGTAAAGTAATTCCTCACTAATGTTTTTAGTGGCCATCTGTCAGACTCCTGATTTGGAGGAGAAGATTTAGATGAGGTTGAAGAGGAATCTCTTGGGAGAATAACAGATGCCAGCATAACTCATTTGTAAGCACAACGAAAAGCCAGCTAGTCCACCCTAACGATACCCCAAAAACAAACTTGCTTGCAAAAAAGCAGGACAGTTAATAGCACCATTCTCCCTACATTGCCTGACCCATTTGGTTACACTCAAACTCATAGTAAAGGATGTAAAAGGAATGAGATGTTGAAACAGTGATGTTTTTAAAGCAAGGTGATCGACTGACTGAAATAATTTGTATTTACAGTCATAGGTCATATCTGCACTATGAAGTATTTTTTGGGGTAGTCTTTCAAAAGCCATACAAATAGCATTCAATTTAAAATCAGATGTTGCCTAATGTCCCAAAACAGTATACAGCAGTATGCCTTGTTATCCCTGTGACTCAGCTCATCAGATCCTATAATTGAGAAAGGATCACTTGGACCATCCAGTGCATTACAATTTTTGAAAGTTCAACAAGATTTCAGTTTAAGGTCGTTGCATGTTTAAAATTTTAACTAAGTTTCCAAATAAGTTTTCTTCATGTACTAAGTTTTTTTCCAGGTGTGTACATTACATGCGTATGCTTTCATCACTCTGAAGGTTTTTTTTTTTTTTTTCGTCGCTCTGAAGAAAAGTGATGTTTTTAGGATAGGGCAAAGCTGCCTTCATTTTCAGCAAAAGTAATCACTGCATGGAAATAAGAAAATGAACTTTATCATGTAAATATCTAAACCACTACAAACATCATTTTTTAAATATTTTGAGGATGATCTTTAACTATTAGGGAGAATAAGATAGTTTTGTTGTTTTTTTAAAAAGATTTATTTGTGCATACAGAACTGGGGTACAGGCCAGAGGTCAGGGGCGGCGAGAGGCTTCACTAGAGACAGAGTGGGGAGCAGAACAGGCAGATCAACGAAGTACACTGCTGAGGGGAGCAGCGGGCAGGTCAGGTGAGGTCTGCCACACCATGTGGTCACCTCCGGGGCAAGCGGGAAAACGAACTCATGCAGAAGTGGCTTTAGCTTCTTAGTGTTGTGCTTTAACCCGCTGCGCCATCAGGGAGGGCCAGAATAAGATAGTTTAAATGTATCATGATCTGAATTGACATGATGGCCATGTGGAAGTGAGGTGTCACTTCCCTAGCTAGGTTAAGGCACGTGGCAACTGGGGACGTCTAAGTTTAGAACTAAAACAAGACATTGTTAATTTTCTGCCTTCCCCAAATCTTAAATTAGACATCTGTTCTCATGGCATTGTCAACTCAAGTGAAACTCACTGCTTTGAATAAGACCATGCAATAGGTTGTATGTGTGCGTCCATTTTGTTTCAATATGTGTGCAGTAGTTAGCTCATTGATAGCACTTTGTGATAGAATGAATGAATGGAGTAAGTCATAAAGGGTCCTCTTCTAATCACTGTAACATTCAAGAGTAGCATTTCCTCAAGTTGGTAGCCCAGTAGCTGATACACTGTAGCCTTAAATATTGAAAAAACTAGTTTTTGCCATTGACAGTAATTAGAAACAATAGAAAATTTTTGCCATAGTTCATGTGTTGTAATACTCTCTTGAAAGCTCAATGCTAAAGAATGTGTTGTAATGCCTGAGTCAGCCATTCTTGGGACATATTGGCTGGACCCTGTTCATTTTTCTAGTATGAAAAAATCTTGATGACCTGAGGCAGCTAGTTTTTACTGTCTCTACCTAGAAATACACAAATTACAGCTGTGCACGAAAAGCACACAGACGTATATACAAATGTGCAAACTATATCTAAATGCTTGTGTTAACATTATATTGTATAGAATACACTTAATTTTATCAGCTCTTGTACTTTGTCATGTTCTGCTCCCCACTTTGTCTCTGGTGAATCCTTTTACCGCCCCTGTACCCCAGTTCTGTTAGCATAAATAAGTCTTTTTTTAAAAAAGAATTTTTACTTGTTTAGTGTTATTCCCATTTTGTAGATGAAGTCCTCAGAATAGTAAGCTAAATTCACATAGCTCTTCAGATATTTGAAGGATTCTCATGTGCATAAGTTTGTTCTGTGTAGCTTCAGTGAATAGCAAAGCAATCAATGGAAATATCAAGTTCCTAAGTATTTAATTGTTCATTTGTTCCTTCACTAATTTATTCTAAACTAATGAACAGGTATTATTGTAGGTGTTGAATACCAAGACTGAATAACTAATAATTCCTGCCCTCAGAGAACTCACAACCAACAGAGAATTACTACAGGGAATTATAGCCCAGAGTGCTGAGATTGTTACAGAGGTGTAATAGAAATGCCCCAGAGAGAGTTGACAGAAAAAAGCTGCTGAGAGTGGTAACTTTTTGTTGTTCTTGTTAGCATTTAAAAAAATTATTATACTAGTTTATTTTTACATCACTTTGTGCCTTTTCCCATTTCAGTTGTAATCCCCGTGGACTTCGCATCACCAAATCACCCATATGCCATCACCATAGTTATGTGCACTCCCACCCCCCCATTTTTTTTTAAAGATTTATTTATTTATGCATACAGAACTGGGGTGCAGGCTGGAGGTGTAAGGGTGGTGAGAGGATTCACCGGAGACAGAGTGGGGAGTATAACAGGCCGACTGATGAAGTACACTGCTGAGGGGTGGGTCACCTCTGGGGCAGGGATCAAACTCATGCTGAAGTGGCTTTAGATTCTAGTGCTGTGCTTTAACCCACTGCGCCACCAGCGAGGGACCCCACCCTCCATTTTTGATCCCATTCCCCACTCCACCAAGGGGGGTGACTTTTAAGTAGAATTGACTAGGCAAACAAATGGAGAAAAGAACCCCGACCAAATGATACCTGCAAAGGTTTTTTGGAATTGTGAAACTGGTAATTACATTTCGACAGTGTTCCCTTAATGGACTCTCCAATCCTAAACTTCTTGGTACTTCTTTGGCTTAGAGTACTTTTTTTTTTTTAATCACTTCAACTAGTCATTGCATGTGTGTGTTTGTATTCTGTTGTCATTTTTCATAAGGAGCAAAAATACTAACCACCTTCTCTGATTTTTATTCATAGTCAAGTTCATCCGAGAAGTCACTCCATATATCAAGAAGCCATCATTAGTATCAGATCTGCCATGGGAAGGTGCAGCTCCCCAGTCACCAAGTTTTAGTGGCAGTGAAGACTCTGGTTCTCCAAAACACCAGAATAGCACCAAGGACAGGAAGGTTATCCCTCTCAAAATGTGTTTTGCTGCTAGAAACCTAAGCATGCCGGATCTGGAAAACAGGTGAGCTGTACCTAAGGAGAACAGTATACTTACATCTTTGCAAACTTAAGGACATGTTGCAGTACTACTTATGCATATTTTTATGCATTAAAGATTAAAGTGACTCTGTTGACCAGGTTCCACAAAGGAAAGCATCAGTCCAAGATTAGAGAATATTTTTGAAGTTCCATGTAGAACACACATATATGTACATGTATATGTGTAGAAAAAGTTTGGACAGACACACAAGAAATTCTTCAGGGGGTATTACTCCTGGGAAGTGCGGTGAGACTAGAGGATTAAGGAAAGAAAGGACTTCTACTCTTCAATTTATACTTATCTTTAATGTTTTCATTTTTTTCACTCTGAACATTACTTGGTAATTGGGGGGAATAACCAACTCTTGGCAAAAACATTTTTTAAAATGTCTCCTCATATGGACATTTCTTACATAGTAGATAATGTAGTGAAGAGTCAGAGATCTGCATTATAAATCTGGGGCATCGACTAGCAGTGTGACTGGCAAATTCACAAACTCACACTGCAGTGGCTTCCAGTCCCTTGATACTGCTAACTTTAACCCCTGAAGCACCAGGGAGGCCCTGAAAATTATATTCTGACATTATTGGGTCATTTTCCTTCTTTTGAAAGTTTAAGACATAAAAATAATAATAAGGAGCAAAAATACTAGCCACCTTCTTTCGTATAGATATGTCTATGAAAAATTTTGTGTGAAGCATATAAATGCAGGACAGCTCAATCTTTGAAGAAATGCTATATTATTCATAAAGTTAGAACTTATTTTATAAAATAAACATGTCTGCCTCTTAAAGCCAAATTAACTTTTTTCTTTAAATGGTGTACATTTATGTAGACCCTTTGGCCTGTTGAACAAGGGCTTAAAAAAATAATTAGGTAGTTAGGACCATAGGGAAGGAACTAGAGAAACAATGTGATAAAGAAGAAAAATAGCAGCCAAATTTGTCAGCTGGTTGTCAGACTGAGGAAAGTATTCAGGCTAAGTCTCTTGGTTATAAATAATTTCTGAGGATGTCAATAGTCTGTTCAGGATGCTATAACAAAATAAAAGGGACTGGGTCACTTATAAAACACAGAATGTTTTGTTTTTTTTTTTAATTGTTGTAGAGTCTAGGGCCCCCAAATCTCTTGGAGCTGTTTAATCCTAAAATTTATCTCAGCATTGTCAAAGGGAATGTCAGGTGCCTGGTGTTCTGCCATGGTTGAGTTTTAACAATAGGAACACTTATAGGTGTGGAGAAAAACTTCACATAAGAACAGCAAAAATAAGATTCATGATATCTGTCCCGAAATATTTATCAAATTGCAGCTTTATGTAGCCAACTATATTTCCCTTTGAAAATATTAATCTTCCACATAATCTTTTGTAAAACTCTGAGGAAGAAAAATTCTTTATAGGTATTTCCTAATCTGGAAAATACTTATGAATCTGGTTTTTAAACCCTAGGCAGGTATGTGGTTTCCCATCATCCTTTATTTTTTTCAAACATTTTACTATGAATATCTTCAAGCTACAACAAACTCAAAAGACTTTTATATTCACCACCCATCTTCCTGCAATCTTGGTTCTACCATTAATATTTTACTATACTTGCTTTCCCACAGATTGATTCATCTGTATATTTTTTGGATACATTTCAAAATGATTTGCAGACAATACACTTTCCCTCTAAATACTTAAGCAATGTATTTAAATAGCTAGAGTTCAGTGTTTCTGCGTAAGACTTGAATTACCTAGAAATATAAGTCCGAAATTTTAACAAACTCATAGTTATATATAACCCAAACCTATCAAAATACAGAACTATACCATCACCCTGGTAAGTTTTCTTCTGCCCTTTCCCAGTCAGTTCCCTCTTCAACTATGCCTGGTGTTCTACCATGGTTGAGTTTTAACTATTCTGAAACTGTTTATAAAGGTGATCCTATTATGTATACTTTTTTGGTCACAGAATTCCATTACTTAGCATAAGGCTTTTGAGATTCATTCTTCTTGTTGAATGTATCTTTGTTATTGCCAAGTAGAGTTGCATTATATGAGTATATCATAGTTTCTGTATCCATTTTCCTATTGAGGAATACTTGTGCTATTTCCAGTTTAAAGCTAATATTAACATGTTAGCTTTAGTACTGTGAATATTTTTCATGACTTTTTATGGCGTACATATTCAGTTCTCTTAGGTAAACTCAAAGGAGTGGAATTGTTGGATCAAAGGGTATATGTTTAAGTTTTTTAAAAGCTGCTATAATTTCTTCCTCAGTGGTTATACCATCTTCTATTCCTGCCAATAGTTTCTGAGGTGTTTTTTTTTTTTTTCACCATATCCTTGCCAATATTGGTGGTGTCAGTTTTTTTTAATATTAACTGTGAGAATGTAGTAGAATTTCTCTGTGGTGCATCCTTCATTTGTATGTAAAGGTTTTACTTTCTAAACCAAGAACTTACTTCACATGAGAGAAAAACATACTTTTTTTCTGTTTTACTACTTTCATTTGGTTTCACAATCTAGAGCTGAAAACAAGTGCTAATCATCAGAATGAATGAGGATTAAGAGGAAGATTGTAATCTTCCCCCACCTTTAGTTGTCAAAACCTCACTAGATGATTCTGACAGTTATAAGCTTTTTATTCTGGAAAATGAAAACTAAATAAATAATGATGAAGTCCAGGAAGAGAACATGAGCCCACTCCACAAACAGTATTTTGGGCAGTGTGGAGTTTGGCAAGGACAAAATGATCTTGAGCACTGCTCTTCAGAAATGTAAATCTCTTTCCTTTGGATTTAATTCCTATGTTTCAGTCATCTTCACACTTGACTATTCTCCATGTAAGTGGGAACTTGACTATAACGTATAAAATGATGTGACTATTAGTAAATTGAACACGTAAGTAATGTCAAACTTTACTAAACAAAAGAAATAAGTAGATTTACAGAATTTAATGCTTTTGTGTACCTAAACACTGATTTGATTGATCTGATCAAAATTAAATTGTATTTCTCAGGAAATCCTCAGTGATTTTAACTAGATGCCAAAACTCTTAATATTGTAGCTGTCTCTTCTCTGTTGTGAGCCCAAACCATTTCAGGCAGATTGCCTTCATATTTTTATTAGCAAAGCTTTCCTTTGAATTTTTCTTTTAAAATAGCAGTAGACTTTAGGAATACTCTCTCCTCCTTTTCAGTTCTCTAGGGACCATTTCTTCAAAGGCAAACTTTACAGCCTTAGAATCATCAATCCTATTTTGCAGTTCCTTTTCTGTTTCATGTAATTTAATTTTCTATTTCACAATCCCCCTGTTAAGAAACACTGCAAAACTTTTCTTTTCATGAACACTTGGTGATTCTGCCGAAGGAACTAATTTATTGCCTGTTTTCATCTTCTCCTAGCCCAGTGATCCCTATACCCCCTTCTGTGTAATCAGGCTTAGTTTTACTTTGTAACAGACTTATCTTCCATTCTGGCAGTTATTAATAACCAGAATCTTTGACATCAGGATTTTCAGGGTACAGACTGCCAAAAGAAATGTGCCTAAGAGACTGTTCCAGGAACAGTATGAGGTGCAAAGGCTTTCTGAGAAGTGAATATTTTGTACCTGGAGAACTGATACCTATCTTTAGTGCTAAGTAAGTCAATAGGAGGAATGAAGAAATTTTCACTTTATGGGTTCTGTTACTGAATTTTTTAGCATGTGTTTAAAAGATGTTAAGCTGGTTACAGTGCAAAGCAACCACGTGAAGTAAATTGACACTGTGGAAAATGGTCAGCCTAATATATAGATCTGAATTAAGAACATCCTGGCTTTTCTATCCAATTTAATGGGATAAGGGTGGATATGAATTTTCCACTGGGATGGGGTGGGTGGAGCAATCACTAGCCACTGTGTGTGGAGAATGGGTAGTAGTCTTTGGGTTTCTTTATTTTAGCTGAGTGCTTTACTCTCACTTCCAAGGGTAACTAGTGCTCTAACTCTTCAGCCTTTAAGATTCTGCAATATGGGTTAGCTGGGAATTGGTTTTTCCCTTTTTTCTTAGGTCTACTAAGTCATTTAACTCCTTTGTGTGCTTGCCAGTTTCCAAAATTTTGTAGTAGATACTCCTTTCCTGTTCTCCTTGGGTTTGTACAATTTTTTTTTAATCTCCTTTTGACTGGGGGAGAAAATAATAATAATAACGAACAACTATATACCAGAGATATTTTATGGGAGTGGGGTGGGGAGGGGAATGGGATCAAAAATGAGGGGTAAGGGAAGTGCACTGGACTATGGTGATGGGAAGCCCACAGGGATTACCACTGAGATGGAAAAAAGCACAAAATGATGTAAACATAAACTATTACATTATTTTTAAAAATCTCCTTTTAAGTTTCGTTATAACTACTTAGTTACAACACCAAAAGCACAATACATACAGTAAAAAAATGGATAAGTTGGTATTATTAAAATTAAAAATTTTAATTCTGCTTAATAAAAGACACTGTAGGGTTCTCCAGAGGAATAGAACCAATAGGATGGATGGATCAATGAATAGAGAAAGAGATTAAAGGAACTGGCTAAGGGGAGGCCAGGCTGCAAGTTGGAGAATTAGGAAAGCTGGTGGTATAATTCAGTCCCAATTTGAATGCAAGTGTTTGAGAACAGGAAAGATAAATGTTCCAACTCAGAGTGCAAATGCCCCCTTCCTCCTTTATTTCTGATTCATGCTCTCAGTGGATTGTATGACGCCCATCTGCATTCCTGAGGACAGGCTTCTTTAGGCAGTCTACTGATGCTAATCTCCTCTGGAAACACCCCCCAGACACCTTCAGGAATCATGTCTTACCAACTACCTGGGTATCCCAGACACATTAAATTGATCATCACACGCACTACAAAGGGAATGATAAACCCACAACTGGGAGAAAAATCTTTATAAAATGCATATCAGATAAAGGTAACCAAAATATACAAAGAATTCTTAAATCTTAACAATAAGAAACAGCCCA